ACTGTAAGTTCGGCAGAGCTGGTAGTCAGAACGTGCTGATAATGGATCCGAGTTGTACAGGAACGATGCAGCGGATGCAGAGTGAGAAGAGCATCTTGGATGAACCAGACTCTCCTCTGGAGGTGAGGGTCTTTGATATTTATAATCCGAACTAAAAAATGTGCTTTTTTCCCAGATGACTTACTTCACAGTAGATGCCCTTTGGGCTCACATTTTAGGCAATCTGAGGAGTTTTCAGTACCACAATTTTGAACAGCTCCACAGACTGGAAGATAATTACGCTGCTGCTTCACTCTTTGTGGAGCAGTGTCCTGGTGTTTCAGTCACGTGCGAGTGTGCAGTTGTTTTCCATTCATAAATAACTGTTTTTCTATGTACACATAACCAATGCTGAGTATAAGTACCAATGAGTGTTTTTCACATTTTGTGTCTTAAAATATTACCCTTTGTTGGTAGCCGTGCCAACGAGCTGCCCACCGCTGTTTCAACGAGTTTGCATTGTCTGCGTATGTTTATGTTTAGATTTTCTTTTTCTTTATAAAACATCGGGCTTTTATTTTCATTTTTAAAAAAAAATCAAAATCACAAAGGCTCAATGTTCTGGTGACGGATTTAGGAGGTGATTTCTACAAAGCACCTTTTTAAAAAATAGTTTTTAAGATATTACAGGGTTTTCTCCAGTGTTGTAGGCTTTAGTACTTTTCCATTTGCATAGATTTTTGTAATACATTAAATTGAACTCTTAGGGCCGCTGTTGGACAGTGTGTGTCGATGTAAGGCGGGTTGCAGCAGTACCTCCCCCATTATCTTTTTTTTTTCTTGTCAGAGGATAAGAGACATGCAATGCGAATATTACACAGGAGGACAATAATCATCACCGGCTTGAAAAGATGCTGTAAATCTGGATCGTTGTTAGTCCCGTTTATTGGATTTACAGAGGACATTCGTCGGATTTTCTTTCTATCGAAAACCACGACTGGAGCAGGATTTGTGTCGCATGAAAATGCCGGACAGAACAATGAGGCGGCAAGTGCTGTTGTTTTGCTCAGTTATCTCTCTCGCATCGGTGGTTGGGCAGGTCAGCTACTCGATTCCCGAGGAAATGGCCAAAGGGTCAATAATCGGTAACATCGCTCAGGATTTAGGTTTAGACAGAAAAAGATTGACGTCAGGCAAAGCTCGGATTTTTACCGGAGACAGCGCTGAGTACATCGAGCTGAACAGAGAAAGGGGAGTCCTGCTTATCAAAGAAAAAATAGACAGAGAGGCGCTCTGTGGACAGACGACGCCCTGCGCTTTGCATTTTCAGGTTATTTTAGAGAATCCTATGGAATTTTACACGGTTGTTGTCGAAATTATAGATATAAATGACAACACTCCAGTATTTGAGAAGTCTGGCATGAAATTCAAAATAAGCGAATCCGCTGTGATTGGAGCAAAATTCCTGTTGGAGAGAGCAATAGATCCCGATGTCGGCATGAATAGTCTGCAGAGCTATTTTCTAACAAAAACCGATAATTTTGCTTTGAAGCTGAAAGATCAGCCCGAAGGTGAAAAGATAGTTGAAATGATTTTACAAAAACCTCTAGACAGAGAAAAAGAAGAAGAGATATTTTTAGTTTTGACTGCCGTGGATGGAGGGGAACCAAAGCTCTCTGGCACAGCACAGATTCATGTAACAGTTCTCGATGTCAATGACAATGCACCGGTTTTTACAAAAACGGTTTATAAAGCTACAATACCTGAAAACGCAGCAAGAGGAACAGTTATAACCAAGGTCAGTGCTTCCGATGCTGATAAAGGATCGAATTCCAACATAATGTACTCTATTTCCAACACTGCTGCAGATGTACGAGATATGTTTGAAATTAATGAATTAAATGGAGATTTGATCTTGAAAAGTAATGTAGATTATGAAAAGGCACGTTTCTATCAAATACATGTACAAGCCAGTGATGAAGGAGGACTGACAGATTCATGTAAGGTCACAGTTGAGGTGACAGACATTAATGATAACAAGCCAGTTATTAATATAATGTCACAGACTAATGTAATCCCAGAAGACTCTAAACCAGCAACTGTTGTAACTATGGTAAATGTGCAGGACATAGATTCTGGAGAAAATGGCAAAGTGCATTGTGCTATCAATGAGCATATTCCTTTTACATTAAAGCCAACATCAAATAGTTTCTTTAACCTAGTGACAGACAGTGATTTAGACAGAGAGAG